TTTTTGATGATGGTTGTGGTAGTTCTGCACGTTTCAGCTCCATACAGTAGAACTGTCTTGACGTTCGTATTGAATGTTCTCATTTTGATATTGTTTGACAGTTGCTTTGAATCACATATGTTCTTCAACTGTAGGATCACTGCACTTGACTCTCCAATCCTCGCTTTCACATCTGCATTAGATCCCTCGTGTTTGCCGATGATGTTGACCAGGAATGTGAAAGTTTCCACCTGTTTCAGAGGTTCTCCATCACGTGTGATTGGGTTGGTGCTCACTATGTTATATTTCAGGATCTCGATTTCTCTCTTGTATTTCTTGAAACCTAGTGATGTAGAGTGTGCCGCTTCACTGACTGTCTTCATCTATATTTGTTGTTGTATATGGGATAGAAGATGTAGTTCATCTGTGAAGTTCAAATTTTGTAGTTGCATGCAAGCTGTCCATTGAATTCCCTGCTTCTGACCAGATGTGGAGGTCTTCATAATTCAGTCAACCATCAGAAGAAAGATAAAATGATAGAGGAAGCAGCCTTTAGTAAAGTTACTGAAATCGTTTAAATGTTCAAGAACGTTAATTCTGACTGTTTTCCTCTGACTTTTATAGAATTACACTGGGACATGTTCTCGTATCTGAGTTGAAAGCAAGCTCTGACCATGGCCTATTTACCTTGCTTTATAAGAGCAGATGAGCTGATACATACTCACAGAGGTGATCACTTGTCTGAGTTTATCCTTTATTGATACAGAAGACGAGTTTTTACTAGTGAGCATTAGTCCCAGCTTTGCTGCATAGAATTTTATTTTAATTGTTGCGGTTAACCAATTTTTAATTACATCAGAAGTTAGGTCACCTTTGAAATCCAGATTCACGTAGAAATATTTATTTGAGACAGAATCACCATGTTAATAATTTCAGCTTCGTTTAATGTTCTTCTCGATGAAGCGTTCTCTTTCTGCTTAGTGGAAAACGGATAGAGAAATCGGCCAATTGACCGTTCTATTTCCGTTTTTTGTAAATGGATCTTTTGGGTGATCCATCACTCCTCCTCGTCAGATGCACACCAATAAAAACGGCTGAATGACCATTATTTTCTGAAGCGAAATCTATGGAAGGATGACATGCATTGAACGAATGTAAACTGTAAACTAATTCAATATTCTACTCGCGAATGACAAACATGTCGTCCATATTTATTTTGAATAAACAAAATCGACTGGTGGTCGAACTTAGTCAGTCGTTTTTCAGATTAGACATGAAACAGTCCTCTAGGAATGAGTCTTAAGCGGATTCTATTAGGATCCCATCTCTTTGTTTGTATATTTCGTTGATAAAACTGAAACGAAAACTAAAGGTACAACTCAACAATAATTCGTTCAAGTGGTTATTCGTAAAGTCTACATTTATGTTGTTAGAATCAATACAATCAAACATGTAGCATACAGTTTCAGTTAAAGGTACACTGGCGAAATAACATCAATTGGGAACATGAATTTCCCTGAATTATAAGCCTTCATAATCCTACCAATAAATTGAAAAGTATCATGAAAAGAATATTTAGATTCTTGTCTTCTAAGTGCTTCTAATTTATCAGCCAGTCATTAGGTGATTTGGTGGTAGGGTGAATTAGATATATCGAAAATAGGTTTATGTAGTTTCGGTAATTCATATAAGCGTGAGATGATTGAACCCATTGAACGCTTATGATCATGTTATTTTAGGGTTACTATCCTATTTTTTCAGTTTTCTTGCAAACATTAGTAAGCTATTTTTCAATTTGTGATGTTTTATCCGTTTCTTCTTTAAGTTTGAAAAATTTAGTATCAGCCTCTAGAATTTACAGCTTATTGATCAATTAATGTTGACGACCCAGGAGTACCACACAAGCTCCTTTGTCAGGTTTACTTAGGATTAATTCCTTATTTCTTTCCATATGATTTTTAGTTAATAAGTTATTATGACTAAATTGTGTGTGTTAACATATCCGATGACAGTAATCAAGCACTGTGGATTTAAAATGCTTAAATTCTTGTGGAGATGTTGAAAAGAGATGAGTTTGATTAACTAGATATTCAAATTGTATTGGCTTATGAAGTCCATTAGTTTTAGGTGCTATTCCAGAATTTAGAACCCACTGACAAGGCCTGGATTCAGGTTGACGAAAGTGTGACAGAAGACATATTTTTCGGGATTTTAAGGAAACTTATTACATATATTTACGTGTTTCAATGTTACCAAGTGTTGAAGTGTAGCTCTATGTGAGTCCCTTTCGGTGACAGTAAAAACGCAATCCTAACATCGTCTACGTTCACATAACGACAGTTCATATAACAAGTGACCACTGAGAGATATGTTGCATTCTAGTTCACTAGTCGAAATTTAATAGCATCGATACGATTAAGTGAATGACGTTTCGATAGTTTTAGCATTTGTATCAATATGATTTCGCCCTAGTGCCTTCCAGAAACATTTAGGATAGCCATTACTCGCGATAGAGTTATATGAACAAAGAATGTTTGTTTCAGTTATTTTTCATTAGGTTCTATAGTTATAAATCCGAATGTCTTCCAAAGGTATAGCCCCAACTTCAAGATAAATAATTCTTTAAAAATTACGGCTAAGGAATTTAGGTTTCTTGGTATATCTCAGCAAAATTTCAATATGTTAATTATTTTAACATAAATTTTTATTCATAACTATGGATACTGATGGGAATTGATTGTCAGAAATATTCCTTATTTACATATATATCTTCTAATATGATGGTGTTTTAACTTCTATGTTTTCATACTACAGTTTAACTTGATACTTTCAAATACATTAGGGATTTGGTAAAAAGCTAATAATAATATTATGGTATATTCATAATATCCCAGTCAGTCGAAATTTGAATTTCTTTTTGTGACTTAGTGTAAACTACTGTTTCAGAGGAAATAAATTAATAACCGAATTAAGTTAATCATCTCTGCTTATAAATTAATACAAGTTTGAATAGTATAAAGGAACAACGTAGAATACGTTATCAACATCGTTTAAAATTTTTGGTCAAGCCATTTCAATGTGAGACAACATTGTGTATCTGTGTATACCATTGTGAGTATGAAAAATGCGCGATATGAAGAAGAGTTGAACTTCATATGTGTATGTATGAGAAATGAGAAAAGTTGAATGTCGTTATTTGTATAAACAGTTCAAAATGAATGAATAGTGAGACCTTTTCTTATGGTGAGAGAAGGACTTAGAATACTATAAAACTCATCAGCTACTCTTCTTTCTTTTTAATTAATAAAATCTTTCGGAATTATTTTGATATTTTTGATATCAATTTAGTGATTATTGAATAAAACATACATTGTTATTGCCGATTTGTAGGTTTTCCAGCTCTACAGGATTTTTAAATCATTTTGTAAAACTTAGTTAAATAGATCGTTAGAAGAATGAACTTATATCCCATAATTGTCTACATTTCTATTCCTAAATCTATGGAAACTAAATAATAATCAAATGGTTGATTTAATAAAATGACACGTTTTAGTGTAATGAACTTATGAAAACACTGATATATAAAACAAAAGCATAGAACTTCAGAACATCAGTATGACTAACTACAAACAGTATTATAAAGAAGTAACTAAGAGTAAATTGTTTGTTGTAAAAAAAACTCAATAATCTTGAAAAGTTATGAATTATTTTTTGGAAAAAATGCGCAATTTTGTATTATGCAAACAAACAAATCTTGTTGTAATTTTTCAAAAATATTAAACTTCTGTAGTTAAAATCATGAAGTGTGCTGAGTTAGGTCATCAGTTTAAACTGGAAAGCACTAGACACTTATTCCTTCTTAATGTGGGCTCTTTAACAATTCATATCCACGAACTCACCACAGAAAATCAAAACTCAGGACTGACGAAGAACACCATATTAGAATAATTAAATTATCCATTGCTTCCAGATCTTTAATGGTGGTATAGTTAAGATCAGTTCGTGATTTGTGCTATAAAAATTTAACAATCTCCGCAAAACTCTATTCTAATAAAAATGCAAACATATCAAGAATTATGAAGATTCGTCATACTTATAAAAGAAAATTCTATTTTAAAAGATTCGACAGTTTATGTCAATATCAGCTTACTAATGAAATGAGGTCAATACAACCAGTTTAAAACAACAACTTTCTGCATTAATCTTGGTGTATGACTTTTATCAACAAAGGTGATTTGAGAAGATTGTTCACTTAAAAGCTTACTTACATTACAAACTTGGATTATCTATGAAAGCATTGAGCTAGATTATTCACAAAATCACAAATTTATCAAATGAAACTTTATATTAGTAGTTTTTCTATTGTTGCCTATAATTACTTTACCCCTATTTCTTCCATTATTAATGAATAAGACTAGAAGCTTTATATCATATATCTTGGTTTGATCCTACTTGTAGTCAGTAACAATAAAATTAATCCTAGTTTACAATAGAGTACAAGTAAGAATCAAATATATTCTGAGGGAAATTTGTCGAGTTCTGACAAAGAAAAAACAACAAATGAATCTAGAATAATCCTTTGAGAATTCGCATTATACATATTTAATTTGTAATTAAATGATTATTGTTTTTCAAGGTAATACGACATGCTAAAACACTATCTTCTTATTCCCATGCGTTATGCTTTGAATTACAAAAACAGTTTGATATTAGTTAAATAACAGTTAATTTGGTCTTATTAGATATATACATATCCTAAGAGTTTATTGTGTATGAATTTATAAACGTCCTACTTCTACTTTTTTGGGGCTCTATTAGAGATTGATAATCTTCAACTGCTTTAATTCTGTTGTAATGGTCAATATGGAAAGTATTACTTATTCGATTACTGAAAAATGTCTACTGAGCTTATAATCTTTTTTGATTCACTAACATGAAAACAATTATATCGTTATAGAAGAAATAACGAGAAATAAGCATCAAATGTGTCAATGATTTTTTAAAACAGAAATCGAACTTACTATTTTCCAGAATGTTGTATTTAGTAGTCCAACTTGTACCAATTGAAATGTAGTACAAATTGAATCAGGAGGCCATGGAACTTGTTCCATAACATTAAGTGAATAGCATCCAGGTGGTTCAGTACGAAATGTTACTTGGAAATGTTTTGTATAGTTATAGAATTTTGAAATAGCATCAACCCTAGAATCCCATATGATTCCAGATTTAAGTTGACAAGATTTAGTTGCTCCTTGTACAATATTCAATTTAGAATCTGTTTTATAATACTCTGAATGAAGATATTTGGTTTGATGTTCATTTAAGCATATAGTTACTGCTGGAGGAGGAACACCATCTTTTGGACCTCTTTGATCTAATCGAACAACTGTTACATAAGTTAAATATTTATGTATGACTACACTAACAGAGCTAACTAATGCTATCACCATACATGTTGCAAAAAGAGCCCATAATGCTTTAACAGCTCTATTACTATTGACAAATGTTCTAACAACTGGTGTCCATCCAGTTAAGAATTTTGGTTGTTCCATATTAAAAATTGATTAAAATTTATTTGAAAAACGACTAAATAGATGATATTTATAATAAACATTAAAATATACTTTTGTTTTTCTGAAATTATTCAAATGTTATTGTACAGAGAAAACTTGTGATATGTTATATCTGGTCTGATGGTATGCATAATTCCTTCAACTGAGTAAATTTTTTTTTGTAAAAAAAAGTGTCTGTACATGAATAAATAGTTTGATCAGAAATAGTTTCAATAAACCATTGAATTTCTTTTTATCATTTAATTGTTTTAGAAAATCCACTTAAAACACAAGTTTAAACTACATGCATTCACAAGACAAAACAAAAAACTACGTACATGTAAAGTAAATTTTTATATCTAATTTACAATAATCGTGGTAGTAAAATAAATTTCCTGAATTGTAACAACGATAACAACAATAACAGTAATAACATGTAAGTATGTGTCGTAGATACGTGTGTGTATAACAACTTCGATTAGTTGGGTCAATAAATTTAGACTAGATTTGTTTCTCCCACGATCTTTCTTCCCTTAAATATTAAACCAATCATAAACGACTTCTTATTTATTGCTTGGGAATAGAGAAATTAAGGCAAAATAGTTTATAAGATACCTAGTTACTGTTTAGAAATATATTGAGTATAATATGTAATAGTAATAATAATTTTTTTCGTGTTTATCTTTGATTATATGGTCTTTTTGTCGAGCTATGAGAACTATTGGGAAGAAATGTGTTCTAGCATGTCTTTTCAGATTTTAATATGCAATACTTAAGTTAAAATAATAAGTCTAGTAATTTTATTGTCTGTGAGATTCTAAGTTTTTAATCAGAGAGAGGTTTTGTGGATATTACAGTAATTTTAATAGTTGAATTCATGAATCATTTCAAGCTAGACCACCATTGAAAACCCGAACGCACTGGATGGCCGTTTCTTCCTATCGTAGGACTTCTCAGAAGTGCTCATCCACGATCCCGCTCGCGGGATTCGAACCCAGGGTCTTCACCATTGAGTCGGCATTGAACGGTGTTAATGTCTAACCTCAACTAATCTACAAAGTTGCGGAACCAACTTCCATTGTACTGAGGTAGATTCCTGTCTCTGCCCGACACAGATTAGCTCCACTGGTCACGGCTTATCGCTAGAACTCCGAGAATGATGAACACATGTTAATGATCAGTATAAGGTTGTGGAGATTATTAAGTTTATGCTTGAATAAAATATAAATTTAGAAGTACTAAGCTAAAAGCTATGGCTTAGACTAAATTCTGTCTTTTTCTTCATGATATTAATGCATTGTAGTTTGAAGTAACACCAAGAAACTCATTACTGAAAGTGTAGATTTTTACCCTAAATCATCTTTACGAGCACATTTTCATAACATATTCATTACCATTTGTATACGATATATTAATAATTTTCTGTCTTAAGATACTATCTTTAAAAGGTTTACAATAATGAATACATTACAGACCATACGCGGAATTACAGCAATTTCAAATGTTTGAATAATATCATTTCTGAGTATACCTAAAAATCTTTCCATCCCAATACTTTAAATTTACTAAAGATTTATACTACGAATCATTAACACGGTACTATGTTGATCACAACTTTTCTCGTACTTATATAACTAATTTCATTACTGTGAGGATGTAAACAAAACAATAGATCAAGTAGAAAAATTACCTTATAAATCAGCAGATTGAGAAACATTCATATATATATATATATATATATATATATATATATATATGAAGAGAAACAAGTCCAAGACGAAATTAAGGAAAGACCGTTCAGGTGGATAGAATATACATTGCGGAAATCACTAAACTACATCACGGGGTAAGCTCTGATTTGTAATCCTCATGTCTGAAAGAAAAGAGGCAAACGAAAGAACACATTGTGTCGAGAATTGGAGGTAGACATCAAAAGAATGAATAGCACTTGGAAAAAACTGGGAAGGATTGTCCAGAAAAGAGTTCGATGGAGTATCCTGTTGGGAAGTCTGTGCTCCTCCACGAGCGGTGATGGGCGTAAATATCCAAGTAAATATGTATTACATCAATCAGATCCTAATATTGAGCAGCTATTTTCCAGATAGTTACCCTCCAAGTATATCGGAAGGTAGTGGACCACCTTTTAAGCATACAAATACTAACAGTTTAATAATATTGTTCTTAAGTAAATATATAATTCGTTCGGAATAATAGTGACATTTGATATTTCTTCAACTATTATTTAAAAAATTAATTTAAAGACATAGATAGTTAAATTCATTAGTTGATGTAAGGTAGATCGCCATGGATTCAACTATTAAAATCACTTCGATCTCCATAAATCATCATCCTAATAATAAGTTAAAGACATTGCACGAAATATTCCAATATCTTATAACTAAAGCTCTTTTGCATGACATATCCGTTGAGTGAAATCATAAAATATAAGGCTTTATTAAAAAATATCGTACTTCTTTTAAATGAAACAGTCTGTAAAATATATGAAATACCACTTACCTTTATCTACTGGAAAATGAATGTTTCTCAAAATGCTAGTCGTGATTTTTATCACAAAACGGATTCGTTGACCTGTCTCAGATTTTGTCAGCCATTTTTTTATAATGTCTAAAAGTATTAATCATATGTATATAAAACTTGCTGACTTCTTATAAGTTAGTTTTTAAGATAAATGTTCACCTGATATATTCTCGGTTTAATCACAAAAACATGGTAATTCATAAAGTTTTGTGGACATTATGGATGAGGTTTCCAGAAGCTATACGAAGAAGCTGTAATATCTAGTGCTAAAAACGTAGAGAATAAAACATATACTGAGTGTGCAGTTGAATAACCTACTGTAAAACATTAACTTATTAGTAAGCCGGTATCGTAATCGGTCGTGAATTCTATTGTATATGTTATTGAATAGTAATTTCTAATCAATCACTAAATCAGAAGAAAGAAGTTAGCCAGATTTCTCCGTTTTTATTTTTTAAAAGAACAATCATCTGGTTGATATAAATTAATTAGAATAGTTATCTCACAAAGAGACGTCATGTATCACCTAATCAAACGAAAGTATTGGAAAACAACATTGAAATGAATCTTCCAACATTTATTTACTAAAATTCTTCCAAATAATGATCAACTAATAATAGGCCGTTTATTTGTCAAATGAAAGGTGAAATATATTTTTAGCCTCAATAGACTGATAACAAAAGGTAAGAGAACTTTCAATTGTCTTTTATCTTCTTCAATTTTTCTCTTAGTTAAGAATAACTCTTCATTTTTCTTTCTTTTTTGTATATTTCTCTTTCCTTCTGCTTCAATAAATAATAGTTGAGACTTCTCTTTTATTTCACATATTATCTGCAAAAGAAAAAACAACAATGCACTTTTAGTTTAAACAAAAATAAAAATTTTTAGTCATTGTCATTATATTCAATCATACTATATATTCAGCGGCTTCATTTTATCTTTAAAAAGTTGAATTATCTAAGTAAGTTGAATACAACGTATTCCATTAAGTACTTATTGAGTATTACTTTGTTTTTATTTTTTTAAAGTACTAAGCCCTTATGTAATTTAAAAACTTCAAAACAATGTTATTTGTTTCTAAATGGATTTCCTTTAAAGAAGAAAAAAAGAAGAGAAAATCATGACGAAAAACTACATAGCATTTTATCAATTCTATAAAGAATATACACAATTATCTAAGCATGTAATTTGAGTAATTATGTCATGTTATCAAACTCTAATGAAAATAAAATAGAGATGATATTGGTTTATATATTTCCAAAGTATTTTGTTTTAATATATCTGATCTAACGTTTGTAATTATATTTACAATGAGTAAATTGTCAGTGTACTGAAGATTAGTATAGTTTTACCATTAATGTTTGCATAATTAAAAGATGTTAATCAGTGAGACTATAATGTATGGACGAGCCAATTAGAAGAGTTTGAGGGATTTCAAGGTCACAGTGACAACATCAGTACTTAATGCTAACGTACGATCGGTTCACTGGGGATTTTATACAAAACGTGATAAATGAGCGGCTATAACAGATAGAATGGCTAGACTATAATTTGTGGACGAACCAGCCAGATATAAGATAACAGATCTTGGCTAAATAGAATTTCGGCATTATAGCTGATGTCAGTTCGTGATGAAAACTCTATATATGATTTTTAATTAAAGCAAATTATGACAATTATCGCGCACTGGATAATAAAAGCACCAGTAACACTGGCTGCAGCCAGGTACTGCAATATATACGGATGATTGGAGGGTGTACAGACTCCTGTACATCGTGTCGTTATCCACAAGTAGCATTTTGTACACTCAACAACTGGAGTGCACACAAACAATATTGAAGCTATGTGGTCGAGGCTGAAAGAGCTTTTGCGACCTTATTATGGCTCCAAACGCCGAATATTCTGTAGCCGTATGGATGATTTCCTCTACTACATGCATCATGATTTAAGAACCTCTGAACCTCATTCTAACCTTGACAAGTTTTTGAACCACGTATAAGAAGTGTATCTACTTCATTTCTTTGGTTTTTATAATATATTTTTACTTTATACTGACTGTTTGCTGATTCGCTAATATTTCTCTCACAAGGTCACTTATGATTCGTTCAAAGGTTGTTCATAAATAATAATCTCGCCTGTTAATCTGTGTTTTCAATACTTATATTTGTTATATCTTTTGAAAAATATGAATCTCAGTAGCTGAGTAAGTAACGCGATGGTGTTTGAAGTGATCGGTACTGGATTTGAGTCCCAGAGTGAACATCAACTCTGAGATGCAGGTAAATCCAGCTGACGAGTCCCAAATAGGAAGAAACGCGCATCCTGGGTTCCACTGCTAGCCACTATCCATCTTTGCTTATAATAATTGTGTTTTAAGGCAATATCGAGGCTATACGTACAGTATGCACGTATGCTAATAAGAGACAGATCAATTGCAGTTTTAAACATCAATGGGAAGGTCCAAGTAAATAATACCAAGTGAATATGAATCTTGTTGTCCACATTTACTTTTTTCTCCCAAACCTCCAAATGATATAGATGTTATACTTGTAATAACACTTAATTGTTATTATAACAGTATTAAATTCACTAGTTTGTATAATGTAATAATGTATTTTCTTAAACATTTGCAAACTTCATCTAAACAAACTTGTATGATATCTGAATTCTACCACTGAGATATTCATATATAGTACCACTCGTAATGAATCGAGTTGATTGTTTTAATCGATCAATCGGATTTTATCGACTTTGTCATAGTTATCGAACTCAGGCAATCAAACACGCGGAAGAATACTTATCAGTATACCAACAAATAATACAATTTTCTGTACAATAATATAAATGTTGTTGGATGTTTAATTTAGATATTGAAGAATATGTAACTAATACTTGAAGAA